AGGCCAAATTCGGTTGAGAATGCAAATTTCAGAAAAATGATGAACAAATTCCAATACTCAAGTCTTTTTTTTTTTTTTTTTTTTTTTTGATGTTTAACAAATCCATACTAAATTTATTGTAATAGTTGAAAAAAGATTGTGTGAAATATATTAAAGACCTTTATAAAAATATATTTAAAGCCATTTATCTTGCATTGGGCTCGAATTTATTCAACCCTGCTCTAGTTTGTTAATATTTTTTCCATAAATTCTAACGTTTCAAATCAATTATTTTTTACTAAAAAAATCATATGAATTATCATAAATGTGTTTAGTTAATTAGATTTTTTGATGATTTTTTAAAAGCTTGGGTAAAGTCCGACTTAGTTTGATTGTTGTAACTCATCCCATAATCACTTATAGGTCAACGTAAAGATAATCAATTTTAAAAATAATTTATAAGGTATTTATTTTGTTCAATTTTAAAATTACTTTTGATTTTAAGAAATATAACCCATGCAAAAAGACTAAAATAGGTATTTCTTAAATAGAATTTTTTAATTTTTTAATTATCAATCATATTAAATTTTTAAAAAATTGGAATCTGGCGGGCAGGTGGAATCACTAGCCAAAATGTCACTGGCAGTGGTCAAATATTGTCGTCGACTACGAGTGGGTAGACACCCTCGCTGCCATTGTGCTCGTTGGGCAACAATCAACGCAATTATGCTGGCAATGTTGTTAAATATTGTGGCGTTTTGATACAAGTGCAATGGTGCTAACGATGTCGATCCCCTCTTATGGCAGTCAACCACAATTGGCAACATTCTAGCCGACGATTCTACCAGCCAATTTTTAAGTTTTTTGTTTTTAATATTTTTATTAAATTATTTATAATTTTAAATACTTTTAAATAAAAAAATTTAGAATTTAATTTACTTTGGGATATTTTTGTAATTAACTGTCCCAAAAATAGCTTTTGAAATTTTAAAGTTACAAAATGCTACTTTTAAAGTTATACAATAAAATAAATTATAATAGATTATGTAGCAATCTACTTCTATAATCACTTCTGAACTAGCTTGTAAAACGAGTGATTATCACTGTTTTGAAACTCAGATCGAACTAGTCGGTTCGACCGGGAACCGAACACAACTCCAGTCCGGTTCAATGCTAAACCCGCTAATAAACTAAGACTCGCTTTGGACCGCAGTTGGACCAACAGAATACTACCAAACCGCCAGTCCGATCAGTCTGTGACCCAAGCGGGTGACTAATTATTTATAAATCTAAACCCTAAAAAAAAAATTCCCAAATTTTGCATCTTCATTCTTCAATCGGGCTTCTTTTCTTTCTTTGCTTTGCAAAGTTCGAATTGCATCTACAATCTCCTTGCATCCTTCAAATTTCATCTTCAATCTTCTTCTTCACTCTACTAAAGTTTTAAAAAGATTTAAATAGAACCCACTTCGACTTCAACGGCAAAACCATACTTCTTCAATTACTTCACTAATTTATAGTTCAACAAGAATGAATAGGTTTTCGTGAGGCAGAGGGAGGAGGAGAAGAGATTGGATTAGAGGGAGAGAGCCGTTGGGGTTTGCTGGAGAGTGGAGAGTGGAGAGACGCCATTTGTGGAGAGTTTGAATCTCTCTGTCTAGTTGTGATTTTGTGTGTGAGAGAGAAAAAGTGGTAGCGTTTGGGATAGGATTTGTTTATATGAGGAATAGAAACCTCCAAGAACAGGAGACAAAGAGATTAATTGGCAAAAATTCTTCATTGATAACCACAATCTAGATTTAGGCCATTATATAGCCTTACACTTGACTCCAAATGACTCTCAAAAGGACTCTAATTCCTATTCTAACTACATAATAGAGTAATTGTAATTCCTATTTTAAAAGATATCATAATTGTAAGATATCCTAAATGCCTAATTCTACTTATCTACTTATCGTATCCTTTTTAGATATCTATTCAATCATCCCATAATTAGGTTCCTAACATTGTCTTCCCCTTCGGATCAACCTTGTCCTCAAGGTTGCATCAATTAGCACAAATGAGGGCCAAAACAATAAAGAGACAGCCAAAGTTCCACCGCTCGGAATGATGCAAATCATAGCACAATTTCAAGGGATCTAGTTCAAGTCCCAATTGGGCCGGTTACGAGGGCACGAGTAAGGAAGTTTAAAGATGTACTCAAGGACTTATTCAAGAGGCATGGACTCAAGCAAATTCTTGGAGGCCCATTTAGCATGATCCACGTGAGCAACAAAGATTCATCAACATGATTCAAGTTCTATAAGAATCTGGCCAAGGCTAAGCTTAAATTGGCATGTTTAAGAATACTCCTTTTTTTTGGGTCTGATTGTAAGGCTTGCATGCCATTTACTTTCCTTTTATTTGTTTTTGACTTTTATGGGCGTGTATGGCTGATAACACAACCATTTAAAGCTCCTCACTTTCCTTTTCTATTTTAGGCATGTGATCAACCAATTAAAAGGGTTGATTGTCTTTTTTTCTTTTAGGCAAGTAAGAGTTATTTCTTTACCAGATTTTAGCCTTAATTAGGATAACTATTTTAGGAATTTTCCTTGTAATGGCCAACCTTTTAAATAGGCGTCTAATCAATGAAAAGGGCAGATCATTATTCAGAAATTTGTGAGAGCATTTTCTCTGCAGTTCTTTGAAGGACTATTCAAACTTATCGGGATTTTCTTGGGTGTTCACCAATGACTTATCAAATGGATTTCCACCACCGTTTGTGGCATCTTCCTTATACCGAGGTTCTTGTTTTGCAATAAACAATGGGTCAAGGTCATATATACTGAGGTTCTTGTTTGTTGTAAACAATGGGTCGAGGTTTGTCATCCAATTCTGATCGTAGAACGATCTTGGGTTCTTTTTTTTTCTTTTGTTGTCGAATCTTGTTATTCTTGGTAGGATTCACATTGGCTGGGGTCAAAAATCAACACGTTAAAGAGAGACTCCCTTCGCTCACCAAGTAAATCCAGGAGAAGATGATGAACCGAGTTGAGTTCCCATTTGGGATAAGCTTTCCCAGTGATGGCTTCAGAGGTCATGCCAAGGACGTTGTGATAGGTGACTTGAAGTGGAGAGTTGGGTAGAATTAGGATAATTATGTTAGGTCTTTTATAATTATGCTATTATCTTGTTAGGATAGAATTAGGATTATCTTATTATTCTTTTATAATTAGGATATAATATCTTATTAGATTTGAATTAGGCAATTAGAGTATTAGAATAAAGTGTAAGGTTATATAAAGCCTAAAACAATTAAGGTTTGACAAGCAATAATCAATAAAATTCCTTTCCCTCAAACTCTTAATTCTCATTCTTCTTGGAGAATCTATTTCCTTATATAAAGCAGAAACATTATCCTATCAGAGAGTGAGTGTTGGAAGAGGATTGGATTACAGTTAATAGGGAAATGGAGGGTGGAGACTGAAACAAAGAAGAGGAATGGAGGGACAGAGTAGTTTGGGTTTGCAGGAGAGACGCCATTGATGGAGAGTTTGAAGTTCTCTGTGTGTTTGTGTTTTTGTGTGTGAGAGGAAAAGTGAGTGTTGAAAGAGGATTGGTTTGGGTTAAGAGGGAAATGAAGAGTGGAGACTGAAACAAAGAAGAGGAATGGAGGGTGGAGATGAAAAAGATTATTTTGAAAGTGGAAAGATTGACCAGTCCAACTGGTGAGTCGGACTACTCGACCTGGGACTCGAGCGCGTAACCGGGTCTCAAAACCTTGGTGATTATAGGAGAAGTTACAACAATTAAACTCATCTTGAATATTAAACAATCCCACAAGGGATATATCAAAGAAACCCTTATAAATATGATCCTCCATATTCAATCTAATTTAACAGAACTTATTTTTCAATCTAAGATTGAAAACGAATTAAATATATGATTTTATAAATGAATCACCTCAGAACAATAATTAATACAAAAAATAATAATAATAATGATTTACAACTGAATTATTCCAAAGTAATCATCAAGCCAAATAAAGAAAGCATTACATAAATAATAAATAATAAATCCACCATAATGAGTTTGGTCGTATTATGATTATAATCCCACAGAATCTAACCGTACAATATTCTAATGCACTTACTTTGCTGGAGCACTAATTTAAATAATTAAACAACTGTAAATATGAATTATAATATTTGAAAACTCCTAATACTGTGAAGATTCTTTGTATCTATTAAACCCACTTTATAAACAATATCATATTGCCACATCAAACCAATAATTATATCTTTACTTTCTTCTTTCACAATAAAATGATATTATTTAGCTGGCCCTAACAATAAAATATGCCAAAAGATGATTCATCAAGAAGAAAAAAAAAATATGCTTTGCAAAAAGCTTGTATAGTGTTGGAAAGAGGTTAACTTCAATTAAATTATTATCTTTTGAATATAACTTAGATAATACAGGGTCTTATTCAGGGACGGAGCTAGGAACTTAAGGTAAGGGGGTCAAATTATAAACAGTAATACGATTATAAATGAAACTATAAAGAATATTAGGTAATAAACTTTTTGGAATTGATCAAATATTGCGTATTAGAATGATGGATACAGATATACTATTCATACCGTTAGAGATTTTATAAAATTTAGAAAAATTAAGGATATTTACGTGAAATCAAAACTTATAAGATTAAATTAATATACTTATAGGAGATTTTCCAAAGTTCAGGAGGGTCCCCTTGGCTCCGAGTTGGTCTTATTTATCTACTATCTATCAAATTAGATAATATAAAATACACCTATTATTATTGAAAAACTCCCTGTTAATTACTTTTTCAATAACAATGGTTTTTAATACTTTTATTAATTTTTTTTTTTTTTTCTGATAATTTGAGATGATACTTGATACTGTGTTTTATATGAAATAATATAGTAAATTTTGGAGTTATAAATAGTTTAAGTAGTAAAAGGATTATGATAAAGAAAAAGTTTGTGTTGCTTATGCATTCTTCATCACCTATCAAAAAACAAAGATTTAAACAAGCAATAACACTACAATAAGAACAAATACGCAAGGATTATTTAATTTATCCATCCTTTGTTGTAAGTGCCCTTATTTAATTACAAAATTAAAATAAAATAAAATTACAACATCAAATTCCTACTCAAATTTTAATTCTCTGAATTTCGAACCGGTTTACTTGCCGGTTTGCCTCAACAATTTTTATTTAAAATACAAATTACAACCATGGTTCTTAGGATAAAAAAAACAAAATAGTTTAAATTATTACTATATATATAATTACAGTAATAATTTACACTATTTTGTTTTTTTTTTTTGTCCTAAGAACCATGGTAAATCACAGAAAACTCCACCAACTTCTTTCTTCGTCTATGTCATCCCTTTTAAATTTTAATTACCGGAAACTTCAACCCCTGGTTGACTCACAAGCTGCGGCCTGAGTTTGTCCTTCCAAACATTATTGAAACACGCCGCGTCACCACCACTTCTCCTAACCTCCACCACCACCAGCTCCTCCGTTAACTGGTAAACCTCAATCCGAACTTGTAAATTTCCCTTTTGCCCCTCCATCTCAACCCCCCATTCTTTTCTCCTTTTCACCCTCAATTTCTCAACCTTTGCAAAGCCCTCCACTTTCTCTATCAATTTCTCCGGCATCTCGCGCGAAACAAAACGTTCCCCGATACCACCCGAATTATCGGGCCCGTTGAACAAACCGGACAAGTCTAAACCGGATGAAAAGGATATTATATCGAAAGCATTCAAGCTCTTCACTTCAGGCTCTTCTTTATCAAACTTAATTTCGTCGTCATCATCATTATGGAATTTTAACCGTTTGATTCCACCCTTTTTGAACCAAGAATCATTAATAATCTGATCAATGGTGATCCTGGTATCAGGGTTTGTATCAAGAAGCCGTGATAAAAACCGTTTAAGATCGTTAGACATCCACTTCGGATACCGGAACTCGCCTTTATAAATTTTTTTATACATGGCCATAAGATTTGGGTCGTTAAACGGCAAGTAACCCGCCGTTAAAACGAACAGAATGACGCCGCATGACCACACATCCACCTTAGCTCCATCGTAACCTTTCTTCGTCAAAATCTCCGGTGCCACATAAGCAGGGGTCCCACAAAGCGTGTGTAACAACCCGTCGGGTTTGATCTGATCCGTTACCGCACTGAGACCGAAATCCGAAACCTTTAAATTTCCATTCTCGTCCACTAATAAATTTTCCGGCTTCAAATCACGGTGAAAAACTCCATGAGAATGACAATATCCGACGGCTGAGATCAACTGCTGGAAATATTTACGGCTGAGATCTTCAGTGAACCTCCCTTTGGCAACCTTGGCGAACAATTCGCCGCCCTTAACGAACTCCATGACGAAGTAAATTTTTGTTTTGGTGGCTAAAACTTCGTAAAGCTTAACGATATTAGGGTGGTTCAACCGCCGCATGATGGAGATCTCACGCTTGATATTTGAAGCCAAGTTGGAATTGGAGAGCTTTTTCTTGTTGATAATTTTGATGGCGACACTTTGGCTGGTACGGACGTCGCGGGCGTGGTAAACTTTAGCGAAGGCGCCGCAGCCGAGGAGGCGACCGAGGTCGTATTTGCCGAAGAGAGCATTATCGGGAACATGGTGTTCGATCTCTGGCATAATGATATTGAATTGAGAGTAAGTGCCAGAGATCGAACGAAAAGAAGAGGAACGAAGAACTAATTTAGTAATTGGTAATGGATTTGTTGAGGCTGTAGCCTTTAGTTTTAAAAGTAAACGAATGAGAAGGAATCGGTTTTTTAGGTATTTATTAAGGGGTGCGGATAGGTAAAAAAAAAAAAAAAAGTATCTTTGTCTACGCGGAGGAATAAACTTATAAACTCTTTATTTATTTATATTTTAATTAATAGAAAAAGAAAAGTCTAAGTTCTCAGGAGACTTTGGCACGTCGCGCGGTGCCGTCCACCGTTCTTTGGGTAACAACTAACAACAGGTTGTGAGAATGTTAGTTGTAAAATTGTGTGGCTTACAAGAGCTATATTTTTGTTTTTGTCAAAAATACACATTAATGTCAATACTATCAATCAGAGTTCAATAAGTACTTAAAGATAAAGTGATATTAGTTATCAAAAACCCAAACCGCCTCTAAAAGATAATTTATATCAATTTTATCTCATTTTAAGATAAAGATTAAAGAATAGTCCTTACGTGTCAAGACAATTTACAAAAGCACTCATTACATTAACCTTAAAGGTATAAATAGGCACCTCTCTTCGTGAAAAAATGGTTGACTGGGCATATGAGAATTAGGCAAACATTTGAGTTTTATTATTTTTTCTCTGTAAACAAAGCATTTCTCCATTTTTGTTCGCCTTACAGGCAATACCATAAAAATAATCAAAGAATAATAAAGAAATAATGGATGTAGGATTTGCTTTAAGCTTCCGAATCACTTTAAAAATTATCTCTCATTTATTATTTAGTCTTTGCATTCGATTATCTCAATCATTCACGTATAATTTCTAAGAACAACTTAACACTTTGCATGTGCAAGTCATTGATGTCAAAATCACGTATTTACAGTTTGGCGTTAGAAGGAGGGCATGATTTACATTAGCTCTCCATGTTTTTCCAACAATCCTCAAAATCTTCACGTTATCAGATGTGAAAATCTGAAGCCTGTTCTAGATCAGAGCTCTCAGATAGTGTGGCGAGATCACAGATAGCACATATCAGAGCTTTCAAATCGCGTGGTCAGATCGTAAATCTCACGCATCAGAGCTCTCAAATTGTGTGGTCAGATCGCAGATCGCACGCATCAGAGCTCTCAGATCATATGGCCAAATCGCAGATCGCACGCATCAAAGCTCTCATATCGCGTGGCTAGATCGCAGATCACAAGCATCAGAGCTCTCAGATTGCGTGGTCAGATCGCAAATCACACACATCAGAGCTCTCAAATCGTGTGCCCAAATCGTAGATCGCACTCATCAGAGCTCTCAAATCGTGCTTTCGCGCACTGAGATCAAGCATTCATATCACTTAGATCGCGCTTCTAAGCTGCCAGATCGTGCTTCCGAGCACCCATATCGCACTTCCAAGTGCTTAAATCGTTGATCTTGAGTTCTCAGATCAAGCTTCACGCTTTCTTATCGAACTCCTTGTGCTCTCAGATCACAAAGAGCTCTCAAGCTCTTAGATCAAGCTTCGCGCTTTCTTATCGAACTCCTCGTGCTCTCAGATCACAAAGAGCTCTAAGCTCTCATATCGCAAAGAGCTCTTGAGTTCTCAGATTAAAGCTCCTTGCACTTCATATCAAACTTATTATGCTCTCTGATCGAGCTCATAAGCTCTCTGATTTGCTTGAGATTGCACAATGTGGATTGTTCAGATCGTACGCCTCGAGCTCTCAAGTCGAGCCCCTATCAGATCGCGATCAACTCTTAGCTTTGAGATTGCGAACATCCTCAGGTCGTGTTCTCAACTCTAAGATCGTAATTAGTTCTTAGTTCTCAGATCGCAACCAGCTGTCAGCGTCAGAAAAAACGCGTAGAACACTCAAAACAACCCTAAAACATGCCAAAACAGTGGATTTTGGCCCTACAAATGGACCCAATCAGGTTCCCCTATTGCCATGACATAGAGCTCGGAACGAGCTTTCCATGGATATCTTACGGGCTCCAAAACTCCTCTTAGATAAAAAGTTATGGTTGTTTTAAGTTGGCTTGTCCGTTTAAGGCCTCTAAGTCATGCGTTTGGGCTTCTGACATCAGCTTTCTGTAGGAATTCATCTACTAGACATTTTATGTCAGTTATTAGATCGCGCTTAGATCGGATCGGTCCAAGCCCTTAGATCGCAGTCCTAGCTCTCAACACTCGATTATGCCAAGCATAGTTCGAGCTCTTCAGTTCGAGACTACAACCTATAATGCGACATCCATTTAGATCTAAGACATGAGTTTTTGAAGTGCAATTACGCACTTCAAAAACTGGTGGGGGGGGGGGGGGGGGGGGGGGTTTGTTCTGCTGTGCCAAAAATACACACTAATGTCAAACCACCAATCAGAGTTCAACAAACACTTAAAGATAAAATGGTATCAGTTGTAAAAAACACAAACCACCTTCAAGAGATATTTTATATGCACTCATTACATTGATCTCAAAGGTGTAAATGGGCACCTCTTTTCATGAAAAAGTGGCTGGTTGGACATATGAGAGCTAGACAAACATTTGAACATTATTATTTTTTCTTTGTAAATAAAACATTTCTCCATTTTTATATGTCTTATAGGCAATATCATAAAAATAGTAAGAGAATAATAAAGAAACAGTGGACGTATGATTCGCTTTAAGCATCCGAACCACTTTAAAAACCATCTCTAATTTATTATTTAGTCTTTGCATTCGATTATCCCAATCATTCACGAGTAATTTCTAAGAATAGTTTAGCACTTTGCATGTGCAAGTCGTTAGTGTCAAAATCACGCATCAACAATTTTGAAAATAACATATTTGTTTCCCTATTCTCAAAATCATATCCTAAATTATTTAACTATTTTTAATTTTTAAATCTTACCTTATAATAACCACCCAACTCTACCTAACAATAATATTTAAAAAATATTACTCCAAATAACTAAACAAAAGTGCCCATAACTCCTCTCTTTGTTAAGTCTTAAAAATTTAAATAAATTATAAAAAAGTAATTTCATAATATTTAATAATTCAAAACAGTATAAAGTCCAAGAATTCATTGTCAATTGATTGACAGTAAAAAGAATTTTTTTATTTTATCATCTCTTAGGGGATTCGTGTCTTTTTAATTCTAATTACAATGTCCACTTTAATTTACCGAAGATGCTAGAATGTTTGTTAGGCAATGTTTATTTAGAGGGAAAAATAAACTAAAAATAAATAAAAGCAAGGGAGAAATTAACAACCAAGTGAATCCTCCCGTGGTCATACTTATTAGCAACAGAGGTAATTCAAATTTAGAATCTCTTGAGTAATTACCTAAGAGTCTTTGTCCAATCACTCACTTACTTAGAGGTGGTTAGAACATCTCCAAAAGACCTTTTTTGTGATCCAAACTTTTTATTATAAAGAATTTATCTATAAAAATAAGTATTCAACAAACTCTTTATTCTTTAAATATAAACTAAAGAGTGAGTTTGACTCTTCACATCTAGAGAGTCAAATTTCCCACTCTTTATTCAAATTTTAATTATTAAATTATAAGTTTTTATATATATTATTTATTAATTTTTTCTCCCCATTAAATCTCTTTCTTGAAAAACGTTTTTCCTCCACACAACGGTCTTTTGAGTTGTCTATACATTCATGCTTTGTTTTTTTTTTTTTTTTCCTCTGTAGTCATAAATGTTTTATAGAAAAATACAAAATAAAGAACTAAAATTTAAAGAGTTTATTGGATTTAAATAAAAAATTTGTTCTATATGCCCTTATAATATTATAAATTTAGTTAAGGTAAAATCCTAAAACTTGATTTGATAATTGATTACAAGTAATTTAATTAAATAGGGCAAATTATAAAATTTTGTAATAAATACACGGTAATTATTATGTAGTAAAACTCGGTCAATTCAAGAATACAATAGATGGTGCGGGGTTGTTTTGGGTAACCATAGTATCAAAATGCTAAAACTATATATATGGTTTTGATGTAATTAATTAACTTAATAAATTTGTTGAGCATTATTAGAACGGTCAAGGTCACCAGATTAACGAATAACAGGTATAATACAATCATAAAAACAAATCTATCGTAATTATACTTGGATGATTAAAATACTCTTTTTCTTCTGCTAATTAATCAAAATTTTATGACTTTCCATCTTCATGGTTTTAATTATGTGAAGGATTAAATTCCCCTAAATTATTAATTAATAGTCGCCTTATAAGTTTGATAATTTGAATTTCAGAAATCAGAAATGGGGTTGCAATGTCGGCCAATTTATAAAATCGTGGACTCAATTAATTGGAGCCATGTTCATGTCAGACTTCTCCCCACTGGGCCATGAAAAGAAAATTAACATCAAAATTTATTGTGCAGTTATTAATCACAATTTGACCTATAGATAATTTGTCATGTGAATTCAACAGCTTAAACAAATAATTTTTAAGTTATCAAAATCTAATGTCAATGTATTAATTGAAAGCTATAGCTTAAATGTTTACTTTGGCCACCTCAAACAACATTTTTTAATTCAAGTTTATGGGCATGAAGAATTTGAGACTATTTCTTTAATAGTTTCTTTCCTTCTAGTGGCTTCACTTTGATTTTGCTAAGCAACCAAATTAAGCTCAAGCAACATTGCTTTAAGTTTGTTCCAATTAATTTTAAAATATACAACTTAGAGAAGCAAGACAAAACAAAATATATACAATATCAGTTACCATAGTCTTAACACAAAACAAATTCTATACAAAAACCATATCGATTTCTCTAGTTGACCAATATCTATTAGTTGGTTATTGCTCATTTTAGATTCTTAAATTATTTTTTATATAATAATGAGTATTAAAATTTTGAAATAAAACTATTTTCTGAAATACTTTGTAAATATGTTATTTCTCAACCCATTAAAAAAAATGGTTATTTAAATAACTTCCCCAGAACATTTCATATGATATTGCTGCAAGACAAAAACAAAGACAAAAGTTGGAGAAGTGATTTGATACTGATTTTTTTTTTTTTTTTTTTTTTTGGGTAAGTATTTGATATTGATATTGGTGTGTGTTAAGTGTTAACACGTGA